TTGGGGGGGCTACTTAGGTTGCACTTGGGGGGGCTACTTAGGTTGCACTTGGGGGGGCTACTTAGGTTGCACTTGGGGGGGCTACTTAGGTTGCACTTGGGGGGGCTACTTAGGTTGCACTTGGGGGGGCTACTTAGGTTGCACTTGGGGGGGCTACTTAGGTTGCACTTGGGGGGGCTACTTAGGTTGCACTTGGGGGGACTACTTAGGTTGCACTTGGGGGGGCTACTTAGGTTGCACTTGGGGGGGCTACTTAGGTTGCACTTGGGGGGACTACTTAGGTTGCACTTGGGGGGGCTACTTAGGTTGCACTTGGGGGGGCTACTTAGGTTGCACTTGGGGGGGCTACTTAGGTTGCACTTGGGGGGGCTACTTAGGTTGCACTTGGGGGGGGCTACTTAGGTTGCACTTGGGGGGGCTACTTAGGTTGCACTTGGGGGGGCTACTTAGGTTGCACTTGGGGGGGCTACTTAGGTTGCACTTGGGGGGGCTACTTAGGTTGCACTTGGGGGGGCTACTTAGGTTGCACTTGGGGGGGACTACTTAGGTTGCACTTGGGGGGGCTACTTAGGTTGCACTTGGGGGGGCTACTTAGGCTGCACTTGGGGGGGCTACTTAGGTTGCACTTGGGGGGGCTACTTAGGTTGCACTTGGGGGGACTACTTAGGTTGCACTTGGGGGGGCTACTTAGGTTGCACTTGGGGGGGCTACTTAGGTTGCACTTGGGGGGACTACTTAGGTTGCACTTGGGGGGGCTACTTAGGTTGCACTTGGGGGGACTACTTAGGTTGCACTTGGGGGGGGCTACTTAGGTTGCACTTGGGGGGGCTACTTAGGTTGCACTTGGGGGGGGCTACTTAGGTTGCACTTGGGGGGGCTACTTAGGTTGCACTTGGGGGGGCTACTTAGGTTGCACTTGGGGGGGCTACTTAGGTTGCACTTGGGGGGGCTACTTAGGTTGCACTTGGGGGGGCTACTTAGGTTGCACTTGGGGGGGCTACTTAGGTTGCACTTGGGGGGGCTACTTAGGTTGCACTTGGGGGGGCTACTTAGGTTGCACTTGGGGGGGACTACTTAGGTTGCACTTGGGGGGGCTACTTAGGTTGCACTTGAGGGGGGCTACTTAGGTTGCACTTGGGGGGGCTACTTAGGTTGCACTTGGGGGGGCTACTTAGGTTGCACTTGGGGGGGCTACTTAGGTTGCACTTGGGGGGGCTACTTAGGTTGCACTTGGGGGGGGCTACTTAGGTTGCACTTGGGGGGGCTACTTAGGTTGCACTTGGGGGGGCTACTTAGGTTGCACTTGGGGGGGCTACTTAGGTTGCACTTGGGGGGGCTACTTAGGTTGCACTTGGGGGGGCTACTTAGGTTGCACTTGGGGGGGCTACTTAGGTTGCACTTGGGGGGACTACTTAGGTTGCACTTGGGGGGGCTACTTAGGTTGCACTTGGGGGGGCTACTTAGGCTGCACTTGGGGGGGCTACTTAGGTTGCACTTGGGGGGGCTACTTAGGTTGCACTTGGGGGGGCTACTTAGGTTGCACTTGGGGGGGACTACTTAGGTTGCACTTGGGGGGGCTACTTAGGTTGCACTTGGGGGGGACTACTTAGGTTGCACTTGGGGGGACTACTTAGGTTGCACTTGGGGGGGCTACTTAGGTTGCACTTGGGGGGCTACTTAGGTTGCACTTGGGGGGGCTACTTAGGTTGCACTTGGGGGGCTACTTAGGTTGCACTTGGGGGGGCTACTTAGGTTGCACTTGGGGGGGCTACTTAGGTTGCACTTGGGGGGGCTACTTAGGTTGCACTTGGGGGGGCTACTTAGGTTGCACTTGGGGGGCTACTTAGGTTGCACTTGGGGGGGCTACTTAGGTTGCACTTGGGGGGGCTACTTAGGTTGCACTTGGGGGGGCTACTTAGGTTGCACTTGGGGGGGCTACTTAGGTTGCACTTGGGGGGGGCTATTTAGGTTGCACTTGGGGGGGGCTACTTAGGTTGCACTTGGGGGGGCTACTTAGGTTGCACTTGGGGGGGCTACTTAGGTTGCACTTGGGGGGGCTACTTAGGTTGCACTTGGGGGGACTACTTAGGTTGCACTTGGGGGGGCTACTTAGGTTGCACTTGAGGGGGCTACTTAGGGTGCACTTGGGGGGGCTACTTAGGTTGCACTTGGGGGGCTACTTAGGTTGCACTTGGGGGGACTACTTAGGTTGCACTTGGGGGGGCTACTTAGGTTGCACTTGGGGGGGGCTACTTAGGTTGCACTTGGGGGGGCTACTTAGGTTGCACTTGGGGGGGCTACTTAGGTTGCACTTGGGGGGACTACTTAGGTTGCACTTGGGGGGGCTACTTAGGTTGCACTTGGGGGGACTACTTAGGTTGCACTTGGGGGGACTACTTAGGTTGCACTTGGGGGGGCTACTTAGGTTGCACTTGGGGGGGCTACTTAGGTTGCACTTGGGGGGGCTACTTAGGTTGCACTTGGGGGGGCTACTTAGGTTGCACTTGGGGGGGCTACTTAGGTTGCACTTGGGGGGGCTACTTAGGTTGCACTTGGGGGGGCTACTTAGGTTGCACTTGGGGGGGCTACTTAGGTTGCACTTGGGGGGACTACTTAGGTTGCACTTGGGGGGGCTACTTAGGTTGCACTTGGGGGGGCTACTTAGGTTGCACTTGGGGGGACTACTTAGGTTGCACTTGGGGGGGCTACTTAGGTTGCACTTGGGGGGACTACTTAGGTTGCACTTGGGGGGACTACTTAGGTTGCACTTGGGGGGGCTACTTAGGTTGCACTTGGGGGGGCTACTTAGGTTGCACTTGGGGGGGCTACTTAGGTTGCACTTGGGGGGGCTACTTAGGTTGCACTTGGGGGGCTACTTAGGTTGCACTTGGGGGGGCTACTTAGGTTGCACTTGGGGGGACTACTTAGGTTGCACTTGGGGGGGCTACTTAGATTGCACTTGGGGGGACAGACTTAGGTTGCACTTGGGGGGGGCTACTTAGGTTGCACTTGGGGGGACTACTTAGGTTGCACTTGGGGGGGCTACTTAGGTTGCACTTGGGGGGGACTACTTAGGTTGCACTTGGGGGGGCTACTTAGGTTGCACTTGGGGGGCTACTTAGTTGCACTGGGGGGGACTACTTAGGTTGCACTTGGGGGGGCTACTAGGTTGCACTTGGGGGGGCTACTTAGGTTGCACTTGACTTGGGGGGGCTACTTAGGTTGCACTTGGGGGGGCTACTTAGGGTTGCACTTGGGGGGGCTACTTAGGTTGCACTTGGGGGGGACTACTTAGGTTGCACTTGGGGGGCTACTTAGGTTGCACTTGGGGGGGCTACTTAGGTTGCACTTGGGGGGGCTACTTAGGTTGCACTTGGGGGGGCTACTTAGGTTGCACTTGGGGGGGCTACTTAGGTTGCACTTGGGGGGGGCTACTTAGGTTGCACTTGGGGGGGGCTACTTAGGTTGCACTTGGGGGGGCTACTTAGGTTGCACTTGGGGGGGGCTACTTAGGTTGCACTTGGGGGGCTACTTAGGTTGCACTTGGGGGGGCTACTTAGGTTGCACTTGGGGGGGCTACTTAGGTTGCACTTGGGGGGGCTACTTAGGTTGCACTTGGGGGGACTACTTAGGTTGCACTTGGGGGGGCTACTTAGGTTGCACTTGGGGGGGCTACTTAGGTTGCACTTGGGGGGGCTACTTAGGTTGCACTTGGGGGGACTACTTAGGTTGCACTTGGGGGGGCTACTTAGGTTGCACTTGGGGGCAAGGTTCAAAAAAACGACCGTATTTTTGAAAATTTACCGTAAAAAACGGTACCGTAAAAAACGGCCGTAAAAAACGGTAAAAAACGGTTCCAAAAGGTGATTTTCGTCTAAAGAAAAAATCGGCCATATTATGGGACCAAATTGATGGGAAAAACCACCAGGATGAAGAGGACGATCCCCTCTTTGCTTGTGTGCATGCGTAAGCATGATCGAAAATGTATTCGACCTTGTTTTTGCCTTTTTTTTCTTGGTGATAAGAGTTCTCTAACAAAAAAACGGCCGTATTTTTGAAAATTTACCGTAAAAAACGGACCGTAATGTACGATTACCGTATTTTTGAACCTTGCTTGGGGGGACTACTTAGGTTGCACTTGGGGGGGCTACTTAGGTTGCACTTGGGGGGGCTACTTAGGTTGCACTTGGGGGGACTACTTAGGTTGCACTTGGGGGGGCTACTTAGGTTGCACTTGGGGGGACTACTTAGGTTGCACTTGGGGGGGCTACTTAGGTTGCACTTGGGGGGGCTACTTAGGTTGCACTTGGGGGGGCTACTTAGGTTGCACTTGGGGGGGCTACTTAGATTGCACTTGGGGGGGCTACTTAGGTTGCACTTGGGGGGGCTACTTAGGTTGCACTTGGGGGGACTACTTAGGTTGCACTTGGGGGGGCTACTTAGGTTGCACTTGGGGGGGCTACTTAGGTTGCACTTGGGGGGACTACTTAGGTTGCACTTGGGGGGGCTACTTAGGTTGCACTTGGGGGGGCTACTTAGGTTGCACTTGGGGGGGCTACTTAGGTTGCACTTGGGGGGGCTACTTAGGTTGCACTTGGGGGGGCTACTTAGGTTGCACTTGGGGGGGGCTACTTAGGTTGCACTTGGGGGGGCTACTTAGGTTGCACTTGGGGGGGCTACTTAGGTTGCACTTGGGGGGGCTACTTAGGTTGCACTTGGGGGGACTACTTAGGTTGCACTTGGGGGGGCTACTTAGGTTGCACTTGGGGGGACTACTTAGGTTGCACTTGGGGGGGCTACTTAGGTTGCACTTGGGGGGGCTACTTAGGTTGCACTTGGGGGGGCTACTTAGGTTGCACTTGGGGGACTACTTCAGATTGGTCCGCCCGCCTTAGCGTCCTTCCTTATCCCGCCCGCTCTCCCTGTCCATCTCTCCCTTTCCCCCTTACCTGTGTTTCATCAGTTTCATACGCGTTAGTGGGTCTTGGAGGCGCCTCAAAATGTGGGTCCGCCACTGACGTGTCCTTCCCCTCCCCCCCCCTGTGTTCCCTCCCCGTGTCCCCTCCCCTTAAGTTCCTTCCCCCTCTCCCTCTTTGTCACTCGCTTGTGTGTCATCCGCGCCACTCGGTTCGCCACTGATGTGGTTTTCCCCTCCCTGTATTCCCTCCCCTCCCCTCACCCCCCATGCTTCCCCATTCCCCCTCCCCCGCTTCCCCAAACCCTTCCCCTTCCCCCCATCCCCTTCCCCATGATTCCGCCCCAGCCGATCAACCGCTGTTGTGCCGTTTCCCTTCTGCCCCTACCCTGCCTCGCTCCCCCTCCTCCCCCCCACCTCCTCTCACCCATTCTCCCCCAGATTCCCCTCACTTGTCTTTCAGCCACGCCAGTCAGTACGCCATTTACCATTTACCATTTACCATTTACCGTTTACCGTTTACCGTTTACCGTTTACCGTTTACCGTTTACCGTTTACCGTTTACCGTTTACCGTTTACCGTTTACCGTTTACCGTTTACCGTTTACCGTTTACCGTTTACCGTTTACCGTTTACCGTTTACCGTTTACCGTTTACCGTTTACCGTTTACCATTTACCATTTACCATTTACCATTTACCTTTTACCAGTCAACTCAAAAGTCAACGCGCCAGCCAGTCAGCACGCCATTTACCTGTCCTTCTTCCCCGTTCCCACTATCCCCTGTTCTCTCATTCCCCATCCACCACCCAACACTTTCTTCCCAACAACCCCCCCTTTCCCCTCCCCCTCCCTCCTCCACCCCCCTCCTCACTTGTGTTTCATCCGCGCCAGCCAGTCCGGACCCTTCTTCCCCCCTCCCCCCACCTTTCCGCTTGTCTCCGGCCCCCCAGTTCCCCGGCCTTTCCCCCTTCCTCCCACCTCCTCACTTCCCCCTTCCCACCCCCCCCCTTCTCTCTCACTTGCAATTCATCCGCGCCAGTCGGCCCGCCATTGACTCTCCTTCCCTCCGCCCTTCTTTCCTACTCTCTCGTTCCCTCCAACTCCCCTCATCCCACCTCCTCCCCCATCGCCCTCCATTCCCCGCCCCCTCCCCCCCCACCCACCCCCCCATCTCCCCCCACATTCTTCACCATTTTCCCACCCCCCATCCCCGCCCTCCTTTCCCCCATTCCTCCTTTCCCCCTTCCCCATACCCCCTTCCCCCTTCCCCCTCACTTGTGTTTCATCCGCGCCAGACGACCCGCCACGGACGTGTCCGTGAACTCCCCTTAGGTTCCCTACTCTCTCATTCCCCCCTCCCCTCCCCCCCCCCCCCCCCCCCCCCCCCACCTCCCCTCCTTCCCTCCCCCCTCTCCTTCTCCCTCACTCACTTGTGTTTCATGCGCGCCAGTCGATCCGCGACGGACGTGTCCTTTTCGATCTTGGGCTCCTTCACGCCAAACGAGTAGTTCTCTAACGGGTATATGTTCACCACCGGCCCGCCCACCATGCTGACGGAACCTTCGTAGCAGAGCTAGCAACAATCTCTACAGCGTGAATTCTCTATCGAGTAAAGCGAAGACGTCTATACCGAAGTGCTTTGTAGTAAAGAAAGTCTATGGCAAACACTCCTACAGCTAAGACCACTATAGTGACGATTAAATCATCTAAAAAAAGTGGTCCTGGCGAAGGAGACCAGCGAAAACGAGCTGTCAGGAGGCTCGAGGCTGAACCTGAGAAAAATCGCCTACAGCGAAGTCGAATTCTGTAATGCTTGTAAGGGCGCGTGTCTTTTGGAGTGTATAGGACGTTCATGTTTTTTTGCTCAACTTTTCACGTTTGAACTCTGGTCGACCTGTGGTCGACTATCGAAAATTTTGTGGTCAAATCGCAGCTAATCTTTCACATCAAGCACTTGGCACAACAAAGTTCGACTATCACAGTTCGACTTTGTACAGTAAATCCCGAGTCGTGCCTAGGTTTCGTAGGTTACCCTGCCTAGAAAGCATAGTTCGTCACCGAATGATGTCATTCTTTGCTTTCGTGCAGTTCGAAAATTCACTGGCACTAGCAGAAGATCACACGTTTGGATTTACGTGGCCGCAAAATTCGACCTCAGTTCAGTGTCCTACAACCTTTGACGAATCTAACGAAAACGGTTACCAGCCAAAAGTTGAACCTTTTTTTTAGCTTCAAACCAAAAGACACGCGCCCTAATGGCTTTCAGCAAGCATAGCCCTGGGAACAACGGTAAAACATGGCGGAGACTGAGGATGTGGTCGTTCTGGCAGTTTGAAGTGCAAGTCGAGCGTACTGCTTCCGGATTCACTTGTAACATCGTTCGCAAACACTTTCGCTCGATTCGCTAACGCTGGAAGCCACAGCCCTGATAGACCAGCTCGAAACTCTCAGAATGTTCGGGTTTGACCAAACTCTCGAAAGTGGCAAAAAGTTCGCGCCCTATGTGACGAGGTGTGGGGGTGAGTCAATCAAGAATGATCTTCGCTTCGATACAGCGATTACTAACAGGTGAATGGCTTTAGGCATCATACATGTAAAACACATATGAACAAGGAACAACAACAAAACATCAAGGGCAAAGCATTCCTTCTTTTATTGACAATCCCTGCAAATAGAAAAATGCGCGCTACTGTACAGTACTACGTACATCCATTCATGCTATCTACCCACCAGGCAGCATAATGGTCATCATCTACTAGAGTTTGTTCCATGAACACTGAACCCCCCTTCTTGATCTTGTATATCGAGCAAGGAAAGGGCAATGGCTTGTTGAAGCATCTGCACAAAGCAACAGAGAACGGGATGGGAGAAAGGTGGAATGGGTTGAGACCTGGGACTATCGAGACAAAATTTACTTTTTTTTTTTTTTTTTTTTCTGTTAGCAGTAATTATTGGGGGATTGTAAGGGGGGCAGGGGAAGAAAGGGGTGGTGGTGGAAGGAGGACGGAACACATTTCCGAGTAGATGAAATTAATTTAAGAACGGAAAATCGTGACATCCTACCGCTCAACAAAACCAGATGGAAGGGAGAGTATTGATGAAGGGGACATTGAAGGAGGTAAAACGGCGAGGTGTAAACGGGATCGACATGCATATTACGGTAACATGAAAGTCATCTGCTCACCTCATCCTCATCATAGCCATCTTCCAATCCGGGAGCAAGCTGAAACGATTTAGGGTAAGGAAAGGTGGGGTGTTGTAAAACGATATTTCAGTACTGGGAAAAGACTGTTGGACGTTACAAAAGCAGCACCTCTGACATGCTTCAGAAGGAGACAACAACATTCAGTACAGAAGTGAAGAATGCCACTACTAGCTGTTCGAAATAACTTTTGAGAATTCTCAAAAGTGATTTCAGAAGTGAAGAATGCCACTACTAGTTGTTCTCCCAGCTTCTAATTTCCCCTCAAGGGCAAAACTCTTAGAAAAATCTTAGATTGCCACAAACACTAATGTTTTGGGTCACCCCGAAGCTGAGCTCTCGTTCACTCAAAACCTCGTTGCAAACATCTTGTCCTCCCTCTCACTTCCTATTTCACCCCTCCCCTCTCGTTCCATCCCTCAACTCTTCTCCTCTCTCTCCTCTTCTCACTAATCTCACCTCTTCTCCAGGTGGCACGGAGGCAGCAAACTGTGCCATGAAGCGCGCCAACTCCTCACTGCTCAGTAGCTCGTCTGGCGACTGCACACAGGAAGAGAAGGACAGTGGGGGGGGGGAGAGGAAAGGAGGGGAAGAGAGGAAGGGCAGGGGTGTGTGTGAGGGAGAACGCAAATCCCTCCCACGGAGGCACCAAACTGAGCCATGAAGCGCGCCAAGTCCTCACTGCTGAGAAACTCGTGTGGCGACTGCACCGAGAACATGGTGACAGTGGGGAGCGGAGAGGAGGCAGGGAGGCCAGGCAGGGCGGGGAGGGCAGTGCTGTGTGTGATGGGGGGAGGCAGACTGAGCCATGAAGCGCGCCAAGTCCTCAGTGCTCAGTAGCTCGTGTGGCGACTGCACCGAGAACATGCCGGTGGGGAGAGGAGAGGAGGCAGGGAGGGGAGAGGAGGCAGGGAGGGGAGAGGAGGCAGGGAGAGGAGAGGAGGCAGGGAGAGGAGAGGAGGCAGGGAGGGGAGAGGAGGCAGGGAGGGGAGAGGAGGCAGGGAGGGGAGAGGAGGCAGGGAGGGGAGAGGAGGCAGGGGGGGGAGAGGAGGCAGGGAGGGCAGGGAGGGCGGGCAGGGCAGGGAGCGGCAATGCTGTGTGTGAGGGGGAAGGCAAACTGAGGCATGAAGCGCGCCAAGTCATTACTGCTGAGTAGCTCGTTAGGCGACTGCACCGAGAACATGGTGACAGTGGGGAGAGGAGAGGAGGCAGGGAGGCCAGGCAGGGAAGGCAGGGCAGTGCTGTGTGTGACGGGGAAGTTGCACTCACAGAAGCAACACCAGGTTCATTGCATACCTCAGCAACGGGGGGTGGGCGCTGGTAGGTGGTGTGTGGAGGGTTCAACTCGTCAGCACTTGGAGGGACATCTGCTCTTGTACTCCTGCCTGATACCCCACCACCACCACCACCAGCACCACCAACAGCAGCGGCACCAGCAGCAGCAGTGAGCGCAGCACCACCATAAGCAGCACGCGGCACTGGCTGTTGCGCATCAGACCCCCCAGGGATGTGATTATAGAGGGAGGAGGCGGGGGGTTCCTGTATGGGGGGTGGCTGCAGCACGTTGTGAAGGAAGATGGCAGCCGAGTCGTAGAAGAAGTTGGGGCGGTGGGAGTTGTGGTCCCCGGCAAAGGTGATCAGATTCTTGTCACCCTGAGAGAAAGGGGAGGGGAGAGGGAGGGGAGAGGGGGAAGAGGGACAGTGGAGGACCGTGCCATTGAAATCGCTACTCAAAACCCTAAACCATGAACCCTGAACCCAAAGGCTCCTCTATGGGCAGTGGGTGGCTGCAGCACATTGTGCAGGAAGATGGCAGCCGAGTCGTAGTAGAAGTTGGGGCGGTGGGAGTTGTGGTCCCCCGCAAAAGTAATGAGATTTTTGTCGCCTTGCACTTGGGAAACAGCAGGGGGGTGGGAGGGGGAGAAGGGGAAGAGGCGGCAGAGGGGGAATGGGGGACCATACTGTTGAAATCGCCACTCGAAACCGTAAAACCTGAACCTGATCGGTCCTGTATGGGGGGCGGCTGCAGCACGTTGTGGAGGAAGATGGCAGCCGAGTCGTAGAAGAAGTTGGGGCGGTGGGAGTTGTCCCCCATAGACACCGCATAGCGGCATAGGCCTTGTGTATTTGCTGTGAGTGGTGCGGGGGAATGAAGTTGTCCCCCGAGGCATGCCCAAACAGCACTGGGATGAAGAAGCTGCTCAATACATGAGACTGCATACAGCCGCATACGACCGCATACAACCGCATACGACCGCATACGACCGAATCTGACCAGACAACAACATGCACATGCACCCATCGCATAGGCCTCGTGTATTTGCTGCAAGTGGTGTGGCAGAACAGAATGAAGGTGCATGTCCAAACAGCACCGGGATGAAGCTGCTCCTCGTTACTTACAACCATGTACAAACGCATAAGACCGCATACAACCGAATCTGACCTCACTATGCACACTACACCCACCGCGTAGGCCTCGTGTATTTGCTGCGAGTGGTGCGGCAGAATGAACGTGTCTCCCGAAGCATGCCCGAACAACACCGGAATGAAACTGGTCTTCGCCACTCCCACGGCGTCTAGATCGTTGATGTCGAAATCAGGTATCTTCTTCTTGATCAGATTCCGCAGGTAATAAACAAGCATCTTCACCTGTGCGGGGGGAACGGAGGGGGTAATGGCAAAGCAAGATCTCAGTGGTACAGCAGAAAAACGAGTCACAGCACAGCACAGCACCGAGAGGGGATGAAATGAAGCTGCTGCGTGCATCGAGGTCGATGCTTTGCCATTACCCACTCCCACAGCATCGAGGTCGTTGATGTCGACATCCGGTATCTTCTTCTTGATTAGATACCGCAAGTAGTACACCTGTGCATCTCCACCTGTGGTGGGAAAACGCGAACAGGAAAAGCGAGGCAAGGAGCCCAGCGGTAAAGCAGCAGCAGGAGTCACAGCACTGAGGGGATGAAGCCACATCCAGGTCGTTGATGTCGAAATCAGGAATCTTCTTGATCAAGTTCCGAAGGTAATACACCAGCATCTTCACCTGTGGGTGAAGGGGGAGGGGGCAAACGGTCAAAACAAGGCAGGAGATCAGTCAGTGGCACCACAGCCACAGGAGCCACGGGAGTCACACTGCCACAGCACCGAGAGGGCGTGAAGAGGTGACTTTTGAGTCGACTCAAAAGTCACACTGTCACAGCACCAAGAGGGCGTGAAGCTGCTTGAAGATTGCTTTTGAGATTTCTCAAAAACATTCAGTCAGTGGCACCGCAGCCACGGGAGTCACACTGTCACAGCACCGAGAGGGCGTGAAGATGCTGCTCTGTGCCACTCCCACAGCTTCCAGGTCGTTGATGTCAAAATCCGGTATTTTCTTGTTTTGAGGCGCCTCAAATCCGGTAGTATTATCTCTTGTTCCGATTCCGCAGGGAGGGAGTACACCAGCCCAGCATCTTCACCTGTCCTGTGGTTGGGAGGGAGGGCGAGCCGTAGAAGAAAGAAAATCCGCCGTAGCTCTCTCATTGGCTGAAGCAGCAGCAGCAGTCACAACAGCGAGAGGGCGACCTGCTCCTAGTTAGCCACTCCCTCCATTTCGAACCCATTTCGGCAAGGTAACCACGGGCCATGCAGTGCAACAGCTTGTCCCACCTATCCCTCTTGGTTGCCCACCTATATTTCAACTTACCGCATGATTATTCAGCCCTATCAGAATTAGGTGGTTGAGCCAGGATCTCAACGGACAAGACTTTGCAATGTAATAAGAGGTGCGGTTGCGACCCCGCTTGTGACCACCTTCTCTGCCAATTTTCCATCGCACGCTTCCCAATTTCCCAATGGCGAAGTCGAAGCAGTGCAAGCCCAAGCGGGGCAAAGCAGCACGCGCCGCGACGCCGGCGGTGGCCCCAAGGCAATTCAGGTGAAGTGGCAGAGTCGTCGGGGCTGAAGGTGAGTGCCTTGTGGGACACCTCGCATGTCGGCGGTGGGCGGTTGCTTGTATAATCCGCACGTGGTATAACGCCTCGCTACCCAATAGGTCACGTCGAGGGGGTTTATTTTAGGCGCGGCGGATTGCCCTTATCCCATCCCATCCCCGTTGAGATTCGATGGGTTGAGACGCAGCAAGCCTGCTAAGAGTAACGAGCTATAGCACTAGTCTACTAATCTGAAAGGCGAGGGTAGTAAGAAAAGGTCTACTAATCAGAAAGCCAGACACATAGGCCCGGATGCGTGTGCGAACGCGTTTCGGCCAGCAAAGGCCTTCATCAGCAAAGGTCTATGCAAAGAGGCATATGCCACCACCTCACTTACTCGCACCTATGCATCTTTGCGAGGGATGTTATTTTTGAGATTTCTCAAAAGTAACATCACCTATGTTGCTTGGCCGGGGCGCCTCAAGAAGCAAAGTTTTGCTTCTTTAACAAACAAGCACACAAACAAACAAACACCATGATGAACTCAACTGGCAAATTTTTCCAACTGACCGTGAATTTGGGCAGCTTGATTTTGAAGGTGTCCACGAGCTCCAGAATGAGGTTGGGCAGGTTGGAAAACGGGCTGTCCAGCACCATCCCCGCTATAGACAGATCCTTTGCCGCGTACATGAGCCTGGACAGGGAACGTGGGAAAAACCAACAAACAGGGGGAAAAACGGGGAAGGGGAGGAGGGCGGGGAGCGGAGAGAGAGGATTAATAATAATGTGCTGTCCAGCACCTTAGTTGCAAAAGACGCTGGGCGCGTCATGCGTCCTGCGTCTGGACGCAGCGTCCGGACGCAGGGACGCTGGACGCGCGTCCAGAGATTTTGCGCTCAAGATTTCTCTTAGCAAGGGTTTAAAAAACTCTCTTTCTTTACTTGCTAAAGCTTTTTCCTAGCACTGCTGCCCTTCCTAACCATGAAAGACCACTTCCTGCGCTCGCAACCACCTCCGCATTCTCCCTTCTTTCGTCACTCATGTCACGAGGTGACAGCTCCCATGAACCGCCCCCACAGCCCTATGAGCAACACAGTGCCCTCCACCTCTCGATTCTCTGCCTCCCCCCTACCCAATGCTGCTTCGCCCCATCCCACTCTTCCCATCCCCACCACTCCCGAGGTCACAGCCCCCATGAACCGCCCCCACAGCTCCCATGAACCGCCCCCACAGCTCCCATGAACCGCCCCCACAGCCCTATGAGCAACAGAGTGCCCTCCACCTCTCCCCTCCACGCCTCTCTCTCCTCCCATTGCCCCTTTGCCCCTTCACATCTTCCCACCCATGCCACTTTCGAGGTGAATGGATCGCCCCCATGGATCGCCCCCATGGATCGCCCCCATGGATCGCCCCCATGGATCGCCCCCATGGATCACCCCCATGGATCGCCCCCATGGATCGCCCCCATGGATTGCACCCACAGCCCTACGAGCGACACGAAGCCCTCGAGGTCAGAGGCAGCAGCAACCCCACAAGAACCCCCTCCTCATGCCTCCCCCTCCCCACCCCTTTGGAAGAAACTCACGAGGTCACAGCCCCCATCGACCGCCCCCACAGGCCTATCAGCGACACGCTGCCTTGCGCTCTTAGATGATCCACCACAGTAGTAAGGTCCTCCATCTAAGGGGCGAGAAGCAGAGACGCAGCAACACCGTAGAGCAAGGGAGAGGCGGGAAGAAGTAAAGCAAGAACGTGGGATGAGCAACACGCTGCCTTCCGCTCTTAGATGATCCATCACAGAAGGAAAGCAGGAGAAGAGGGAGAGGGGGACAGTAGAGCAGCCGCAAGAGGTTGGGAGAGAGATGAGAGAGGCTGAGAAGAAGGGGCATAGTCCCCTTGGGACATCCCTGAGCAGAGTAGTCCAGCCTCGAGAGGTGCTACTTTTGAGAATTCTAAAAAATAACACCAGGATTCGCAAAAGCAACACCAGAATTCTCAAAAGTAACACCAGAATTGTCAGAAGAAGAAGGGGCATAGCCCCCTTGGAACTCCCCAAGCCCAAGAAGTCGAGTACAAAGACGGTAATGTTAAATGTCAGGCAGGATACACACGGCTTTGAGTTTTGCACAAATGAAGCACCCAGAGACTAGCGAGCTCTCCGAATCCTCCTCACAGCTGCAAAATATCATAACTCAAGAAGAGGAGGACCTAGTAAATGAAAAAAACACATCGTTTACCGTGAAATTTAACATAAACGGAACGTGGTCAATAGAAAACGTTTGGATGAAGCTGGCGAGTTAGCGCTTTGATTGATTGACCCCGAGTATTCGAAATGTGAAGCCACTCTGAACGTATGTCTTAAGTTGTCTGGTCGTAGGAGGAAAATCTTGACTATCGTTGGAAAGACCATCACGGACGCTTGTCTAGAAGGTTACCACTGCTGCTCATAATACGAACGTAAGTCCCCTTGGGACATGCCGGAGCCCGAGATGACTTTTGATTCGACTCAAAAGTCACCTCGTAATACGCACGTAAGTCCCCTTGGGACATGCCGGAGCCCGAGATGACTTTTGAGTCGACTCAAAAGTCACCTCGTAATACGCACGTAAGTCCCCTTGGGACATGCCGGAGCCCGAGAAGTCGAGAGCAAAGGAGGTGATGTTGGCTGGGAGGCAGGATACACACATGCCATGTACCCTCGTCTTCCCGGTAGGTTCAATGACCCTCATACAGAACAGAATTCCTCTTCGTACCTCGAATCTCCCCAGCGTGACATAGTCCCCTTGGGATGGGACATGCCTGAGCCCGAGAAGTCGAGCGCACAGACGGTGATGTTGGAAGGAAGCAGCACAAACACGGCTTGGACCTCAAACGATACATGATACGCATTTACAACTCACTGAAAAACACCCTCTTCGTACCTCGAATCTCCCCAGCGTGACATAGTCCCCTTGGGACATTCCCGAGCCTGAGAAGTCGAGAGCAAAGACTGTGATGTTTGATGGGAGCAGCACAAACACTGCTTCACTGGCGTCAGCACGGCAGCCACTGATGAGGGCGGGGGAAGGTATAATGAAAACAAGGGATCTGATGAGACTGTGATGTTGGATGGAAGCAGCACAAACACTGCTTCACTGGCGTCGGCACGGCAGCCACTGGTGGGTGGAAGAGATAGTTGGGTGGGTGGTAGAGGGTGGGGGGCTTGGAAAGAAGCAGCACAAACAATGCTTCGCTGGCGTCAGCACAGCAGCCACTGCAGAGAAAGGGGGGGAGGGAAAGAGAGGAAGAGAGTGAAGGGGGATGTTGGAAGGCAGGAGTACAAACACCGCTTCACTGGCGTCACCACGACACCCACTGGAGTGGGGCCAATAGTGGGAGAGGACAGGCAGAGGGCGGGGGAAAGGGAAGAGGGGGGAGGGTGAAGAAGGGGTAAGGTGAAGAAGGGGTAAGGATTGAGCAAAGATTGTGATGTTGGAAGGCAGGAGCACAAACTCGGCTTCACTGGCATCAACACGACACCCACTGGTGTGGGGGCGGGGGGGGCGAGGGGTGGCGGAAAAGAGGGTGGGGGAAGGGGAGGAGTAGGGGACGAACAGGGTGATAAGATGGGGTAGCCATGATGGAAAGAAACGGCTACCCCATCTTATCGCCCTGGCAGACATACAGCTTCACTGGCGTCAGCACGGCAGCCAGTGGTTGGAGAAGGAGAATCAGGCAATGGCGGAATAAAGGGTGGGGGCAAGGGAGGAGGAGGAGAATAAAAGGGTGGGGGCAAGGGAGGAGGAGGAGAATAAAAGGGTGGGGGCAAGGGAGGAGGAGGAGAATAAAAGGGTGGGGGCAAGGGAGGAGGAGGAGAATAAAAAGGTGGGGGCAAGGGAGGAGGAGGAGAATAAAAGGGTGGGGGCAAGGGAGGAGGAGGAGAATAAAAGGGTGGGGGCAAGGGAGGAGGAGGAGAATAAAAGGGTGGGGGCAAGGGAGGAGGAGGAGAATAAAAGGGTGGGGGCAAGGGAGGAGGAGGAGAATAAAAGGGTGGGGGCAAGGGAGGAGGAGGAGAATAAAAGGGTGGGGGCAAGGGAGGAGGAGGAGAATAAAAGGGTGGGGGCAAGGGAGGAGGAGAGGTCTAAGAGACTGGTAACATGGGTTGGCGACGATGCGATGATGGGGAGAAGAAAATCTGGATGGCAGAATCTGGATGGCAGAATGTGGACAACAGATTTTGGGCGGCAGAATCTGGATGGCAGAATCTGGACAACAGATTTTGGGCGGCAGAATCTGGACTGAAAACAAACAAGAGCAAGTAAGCAGCAGCCGCACCTGTTCCCATGGCAGTAGATGACACATGGCAGCTTCTGATTGGGCGGGATGTGGGCCGGCATGTAGTGACTGCATTCTAGTACGTGGCCTCGGCTATTTACAAGCTGAGAGCGGGGAGAGGGGGGGGGGGGGGGAGATTATGGGAAATGAAGGATGGGAGAGGAAAAGAGTTTTTGCATGTAGTGACTGCATTCTAGTACGTGGCCTCTGCTATTTACAAGCTGCGGAGGGGGAGAGGGGGGAGGAGAAGATGGGGGGGTTGGGGGGGGAAGAGATTTGAGATGAAGGGTGGGAGAGGGAGGGAGGGGGTTTGCCCAATAGTGACTGCATTCTAGCACGTGGCCTCTGCTATTTACCAGCTGAGAGGGGGAAAGAGAGGTCGGGGAAGGATGAGTGGTGAAAGGTGGGAGAGGGGGGTGGGGAGAGGGAGGGGGAGAGGGGGAGAAGGGTAGAGGGAGGAGGGGAGAGGGATGGGGGGAGAGGGAGGGGGGTAGAGGGAGGGGGGGAGAGGGAGGGGGGGGAGAGGGAGGGGGGTAGAGGGAGGGGGGTAGAGGAAAGGGGGTTGTTTGCCAATAGGAGCTAGATTCTAGCAGGTGGCCTCAGGTGTTCACAAGCTGGGAGGGGGGAGAGCTGGGTGGGAGAAGGATGAGAGGTGAAGGGTGGGAAACGGAGGGTGGGGGAGAGGAAGGGGTGGTGTTTGCTGAAAGTGACTGCATTCTAGCACGTGTAGAGAGGTTATTTTTGAGACGTCCCAAAAATAATCACTCTACAAGGGTTGGCGTTTGCTGATAGTGACTGCATTCTAGCACGTAACCTCGGGTGTTTGCAAGCTGAGAGCGGGAGGAGAGGGGAGAAGGGGGGCGGGGGATGGGATGGGGGGGATGAGAGGGGGAGAGTAAGCATGGGATAGGAAGAAAGAAACGCACTGGCATGGGGTTTTCAGATATTGGCGGCTGACTGGAGCGTACTGCATTCCTAATATAGATAGCCCTAAAGTTAACCCAGTATCACTAGTGAATTTGCTGCTGTAGCACCACAGTCGCACCTGAAGGTCGTGGCGGCGGCCAGCAGTATTGCCTTCAAAAGTCTGGAATCCCCGGTAGAGAGTTAATCTGATGTATCACCAGTGAATTTGCTGCTGCAGCACCACAGTCGCACCTGAAGGTCGTGGCGGCGGCCAGCAGTATTGCCTTCAAAAGTCTGGAATCCCCGGTAGAGAGTTAATCTGATGTATCACTAATGAATTTGCTGCTGCAGCACCACAGTCGCACCTGAAGGTCGTGGCGGCGGTATTGCCTTCCTCTGAGCGCAAAGAGCGGCCCCACCAGGTCTGTCTGTACTGAATACTCCGCACTGCGCGGAAGGGGGAGGAGGAGCAGGGAAGGGAAGGTAGTAGAAGTAAGGGGTTGCGCCGGAGGAAGAGACGGGTCTTGAGGCGCCGCAACAGTCCCCTGTGAGCAAAGAGCGGCCCCACCAGGTCTGTCTGTACTGAATACTCCGCACTGTGGGAGGTAGGGGGGAACGGGGTGGTGGGCGGAGGAAAATGGGGAGGGAGGAGGGAGCGAGGGAGGGTAGAAGCTGAGACAGGTTTGACCCAACGGCACCTTCCATACCGTTCCAAGAAGGCCGGTTAGACAGATTCAGGATCTGGCCCAATAGAGCTGGCAAGCGGATTCCATTAATGAGTATACTTCACACCGTCGCGAGGAGGACGATAAAAAGGTTCACGATTTGATCCAGCATGGCGGACAAGCCAAAGCGTGGCTGCTCATAACGGGTAAATATTTTATCGAAGCCAGAAACGACAGATCGTACCGAGGAGGACGGATGACCAGGTTCACGATCTGATCCAACATGGCTGGCAAGCGTCTGCTGATAACGGGTATATCTTCTATCAACGCCAAAAACGACAAGCGTACCGAGGAGGCCGGATGACCAGGTTCACGATTTGATCCAACATGGCTGGCAAGCCGAGGCGTGGCTGGGGTCTCCGCAATATATCCGCGCAAAGATATGAGTCAAGCTCTTGTTTACGAAAGGATTCCCACACCCGTCTGAACGCCGCTAGGACCAATCAGATTGCGCCAGGCCAGCTCTGCCACCTACGCCACGTGGCAGAGGTTGATAGGGATACACGAGAGAGCACTTGGAGGTTGACTGAGACGACCGAATAGGGCTATTGGGTCACTAGCTGGCTCTTTTCTGAGGAGGCTCTAAAGGATATCCACAGGACCGTTTGTTCGTGCTATATTACTCTTTTTTCAGTAGCGCCGCGTCGCGAAGTGATTTAGTGGTTAGGCAGATTGATTGATATAGGAGAAGCTTCTATTCCTAACATCTCATGTTCGTAACGGCATGTCAAGATACGCGACAGGATTACACGTTACGACTGGACGCGAGAGGATTAAACGCCACAACTGGACCTGTCACTAAGTACTCGCCATGTCGCCAGTAGGCACTGTTAGTATTTCCTTCTGTAAACTGTACAAACTCGGTTGAAGGCAAGAGCACAGTCTTATTAGACACCTGTGATCCCGCGTCGCAGACCAGCGTCTATGTAAACTAAATCGTAATACCGAGCATGAAGGTGTGGCAATATGAAGTTGAGAGCTGTTGGTAAAAAGTCTTTCCTGCTCACTGTTTCGAACAACTCGAGCACCAACATCGATGAACATCAAAGCTACTTCTTCAAGGTCGCATTTCGCGTCAGTTGAAACGCAAGTAACAAGCACTGGTAGTCTCACGTCTGTTCATTCTGCCTATTTGTTCCGTTCGTTTCAGTTTCTTTTTGTCTGATTCAGTTTTGATTCTGCAGGCCTTTGGCTGTTCCGAAGCAACAGAGACCGGTCTCGATTTTGGCGGTTTGGGTGTTGTCTCTGCGTTGCTGGCGGGAGAGTTTGGGATGGAGTGTCAGGTTGGCTTCTAAAGGGTATGCTTCAAATGGGGGAGCTCTGAATATCTGGTCTCTCATTGGATGTTCCACCCTCCTGATGTTGACCGCAATGGACTATCTTGCACCCGACAGAACCTATATGAAGCGGACGTGCTCGTACGCTGTATAAGGATCCTGGGTACAGATCACGTTGAGCTAGCTCAAACTCATCGCACCTTGACTTTAGAACAGAAATTTAACCTGGTGGATCTCAACTTTGATGAGGAATTGGGCAAATCTCAGCTAAATAAAAGCACATACCGTACTTAGAGCTTTGAGTCAGGTATTCTGATGCGACAGTCGTTTTTGGTATGTTCAATGCTAGCTGTCGAGACAAAAGTTCTGATATCTGAGATTTCAGGTTTAGAGGGAGGAACATCAATCGCAGGTGATACATTGAAAAATCCATGTGGCTGCACACATAGAATGGAGGGAGGTGGCATAAGAGCGAAGGGAAATAATGGTGTTAGGGCAATAAATTTTCATACTATGGAAATACAAGATACCGGTTCACCATGCAGAGATGTTACTATCGTGTACGATTTGTGCTTTGAATATTGCAATTGACAAAATATAAACAACCCACCAACTCACCATGACGTAGAATCCCATGCACTCGCATGGCATGACATGCCAATCCTCCTTGTCTTAGGGTGATTCCAAGCATGTATTCTCCTACTCCCCATGAGCCAGAAGCCAATGTTTTTCGCATGGCGTGTCCCAATCCTCTATTCTCGGCACGTGAGTCAGTTCAAACACGTACCTTTGAAGTGCCTCACAAGCCACCAACTCCCTATCAGAGCAACCCAGTCACTCAGCAGAAGCCTGAAGCCAATGTATTCACACGGCATGACTGGCCAATCCTCCAGCCTCGGCACGTGGGTCAGTCTAGTTGACGCCACACAAGCCCCGACTCCCCATGAACTACTCACCACGAGCAAACTAGTCACTCACCAGGAGGCTGAAGCTGATGTATTCGCAGGGCATGACTGGCCAATCCTCCAGCCTTGGCACGTGGGTGAGTCCAAACACGTACCTTCACAGCACAAGGGGGTGAGCACGGGATGTTGGGAGCAGAAAACAAGGGGAGGAAGCTATTGTTATACCTCTTGATTGACAAACCTTTAGGGTGATAATAGGACTAGGACACACTCTTAAGGGTAACTCGATCGACCAAGCCTCTAGGGTTCGGGTATAGAGGCAAAATGAAAGAGATAACAAGCAATGATGTCGGTACTGGTGGTGAGGAGGAGCGTCTTAACAAAGTGTCATAACACTAACTTGGTACTCGCCAATTAAAGAAGCATCGCTCACCACACCACCACTTACCTAAGCATCACTTACCAGAGCATCACTCACCAAAGCACCACATCAGCATTGTTGATTGATCTGTTCCGCTGCACCCACAAAGGCAGCCCATCGCCGATCCTGGGGTTCTGGTTCGGGAACTCGCCGCCCGGAAATCGTTCCTCCGGGTGGTACGGCGTGACCCACAGGTTGTGCTTCAGGAAAGCTGCCCGGCGGAGAAATTTCGCCCCGGGCAACGCGAGGGGCAGGCAGTTGGTCCCTGGCATGAGCTTGTAGGCGGTTGGACGACCAGCCCTGTTGACTGCCCGAGTGTTTCGGATCTGCCCGTGTGTGAAGATGAAGGAAGATGTTCTCACAAAGACATGGTCAAATCGGGAAAATGGTAGAAGTGAAAAAACAATGGAGAACAAGCACCATAGCGGAATGTCATTTCAAAGGCACACCTGACTCACAGAATTCAGAAATTGCATTCAAGGTAGGAAATTAAGGAATGTGGCGACAGGGTGTAGATACACACACAGCGTGTCAATCCTGCTGAATCCCTTCACTCGCTCCAGTCACTCGCTCACTCTTCCCTCACTCCTCCGTTCACTCCCTCACTCACTCTACCACGCACTCTTTCCCTCCCTCCCTGGCCCACGCACCAGCCAGTGGCGAGCAGAGAGGGGATTCACATCCCGCATGCCCTCGCCCTTTGTCCGAAGCACCTTCTCCTCCGCATAGAAGGCATTCGCATGGGGGTTGTGTGATGAACCTCAAACTGCCTCTCTCCCAAACACAGTTCCACCACGCACGCACCAGCCAGTGGCGAGAAGAGAGGGAATTCACATCCCGCATGCCCTCGCCCTCTTACCAAAGCACCCTCTCCTGCGCATACAAGGCCCTGTCTTTCCAGCTGTATCTTTAAAACTCCCTCAGTCACTCCCCCACTCACCAGCCAGTGCCTAGCAGACATGGGATTCATGTCCCTCATGCCCTCGCCCTCTGTCCGAAGCACCCTCTCCTCCGCATAAAAGGCGTTCGCGTGCGGGTTGTGGGGACCCTCTGCTTCTGCCCTCACGTTCACCTCCACCACCTGATGTAGGGTTGGGGCCAGGGGGGGATGGGCAGGGGGGGATGGGCAGGCAGGGAGAGGTGGGCAGGGGGGGGGTGGGCAGGGGAAGGTGGGCAGGGGGAGGTGGGCAGGGGGAGGTGGGCAGGGGAAGGTGGGCAGGGGGAGGTGGGCAGGGGGAGGTGGGCAGGGGGGGGTGGGCAGGGGAAGGTGGGCAGGGGGAGGTGGGCAGGGGGAGGTGGGCAGGGGGGGGTGGGCAGGGGAAGGTGGGCAGGGGGAGGTGGGCAGGGGGGGGTGGGCAGCGGCAGGGAATAACTGCATGATTAGGTGGATGTGAGGAGACAGCTTTGTGGGTGGTTGCGTGGGTGGATGTGTGGTTGGATGGGTGGGGGAAGGGGAGAAAACGCATTCGCATGCAGGTTGTACGGGCCCTCTCAGTCCGCCCTCACGTTCACGTCCACCACGTGATGTAGGGGGGACGGGTGGGAGGGGGGAGGGGGGTGGGGGCAGGGAATAATGGTACCCCAAGGAAGCATGGCTGCATGGGGGTTGTGCGGGCCTGCCCCTTCTGCCCTCACGTTCACCTCCACCACCTGCTGTAGGGTCATGGGGCAGAAAGAGGGGGGGAGAGGCAAGGAATGACCGCATCTTGAGGGAACATGGCCCATGCTCGCGTTTTTTAATCGACTCAAAACATCATGGCCCATGCTCGCGTTTTTTAATCGACTCAAAACATCATGGCCCATGCTCGCGTGGGCTGTGCTGTGCCCTGCTTCTCCGCCCTCACGTTCACCTCCACCACTTGATGTAGGGGGGTGGTGGAAAAAGGGGTGGGAAGGTGCAAGCCTTCCCGTCGGCTGTGCCCTGCCTCTCCAGCCCACAGCCATGCTATGTCCATGCGAGCCACGAAGAAGAGCTGGTGGATGGATGGATGGATGGATGGATGGGGGCAGGGAGGCCAGGTGCTAGAAGCACCCGGTGTATCCTGGTAGCCCTCACCTGGTTAGCCTGCTCCCCTGGCCGGCAGTCCACAGCCAAGGGCACAGGGCACCTCAACCACATCCCTCCATTGTATTCCCCTCTCCCACCCTCTCTGTACCTGGTTAGCCTGCTCGCCCGGGTGGCAGTCTACAGCCATGCCCATGCGAGCCACAAAGAAGTGCTGGTGGACAGATGGGGTGTGTGCAAGCACCAGCATTGGATGCAAAGGCGCCCCCCCTTACCATGTGCCTCAATAGTCCTCACTTGATTAGCCGCCTCCCCCGGGCGGCAGTCCACAGCCATGTCCATGCGAGCCACAAAGAAGTGCTGGTGAATAGGAGCATACAGCCCTGGCGCCAGCAGCGTCCCGTACCTCCTCTCCTCGCCCTCCCTCAGAGTGCCCACCGACAGAATGCCCGTCAGCTTTACTTGCGCTTCGATCTTGCCATCCTGTGGTGTGGAAGAGTGGAGAGAGAGCAGAGGAGGAAGGGGAGGGGGTAGGAGAAAGGAGAGGGCAGTGGAGAGAGTAGGGGACTGGGGGGAGTGGGATGAATGGGGGGAGTGGAGGAATGAGAGGGGTGGATGGGAGCGTACAGCCCCGGTGCCAGCAACGTGCCGTACCTCCTCTCTTCGCCCTCCCTCAACGCTCCCACTGATTAGATCCCCGTCAGCTTGATTTGAGCCTCGATCTTGCCGTCCTGCAGTGAGGGAGAAGCAAAAGAGGGACAAGAGACAGAGGTAATAATGGAGAGCAGAGCATGTTGAGGAGGAGGGGGAGTAGGGATATTAAGGGAGAGCATGTTGAGTGAGTGGGAGGGGGAGTTAAGGAATTTAGGGGGCGGATAGGAGCATGCATACAGCCCTGGCACCAGTAGAAGCACCGATGCTAAATCCCTATCATGCACACAAAAGCGGATGCTCACCAGTGGGTGAGAGCTCTCAACTGACAGAATCACAGTGATGGGACTCAAAACAAGAAGAACCTACCTGGTAGAGATACCAGAAGAAGCCATAGTCGTAGTTCCCAATCGTACAGAGAAACGACAGCACGAGCCTTCTTGATCGCCTCACTTCAGCGTGTCTCGAGCACCAGTCCACGTGCTTCCAGAGCATGCCATATTCCTCCTCATGCATGCACACGGCGTTCTCTATCGTCTCGACGCCGCCAAGAAAGTTGCTCATGTGCGCATCGAAGTAGCGGATGAAGCCCAGACAATCGCAGGCCTGGGGAGAGTGGAGGGTGGGGAAATGAGAAAGGAGTAGCGGATGAGGCCCAGACAGTCACAGCCCTGGTGGGGGTTGGGGGGTGGGGCATGGGAGGGAGAGCGTGCTCTCTACCGTCTCCACCCCGCCGATGAAGTTGCTCATGTGTGCATCAAAGTAGCGGTTGAAGCCCAAAAAATTGCAGCCCTGGTGGGGATAGGGAGGAAGGCAATAGGAAATAGGAAGGCGGTGGTGGTGGTGGTAAGTTCGTTCTCTATCGTCTCAACGCCACCCAGGAGGTTTCTCATGTGTGCATCAAAGTAGCGGATGAAGCCTAAACAATTGCAGCCCTGGTGGGGATAGGGGGGTGGGGTATGGGAGAGCCCTTTCTCTATCGTCTCCACCCCTCCGATGAAGTTGCTCATGTGTGTGTCGAAGTAGCGGATGAAGCCCAGACAGTCATAGCCCTGGGGGGTATGGACGGATGGGGAATGGGGGAGGGGAAGGTGTTGTGGAGGTGGAAAGCAAAACCAGGAAGCTGGGTGAGGAAGTTGCTCATCATGTGCTCGTCAATGTAGCGGATCAACCCCAGGCAGTCACAGCCCTTCAAGTGACCCCACCAGCATCCCCCCACCAGCATCCCCACAGCAACCCCACAGCAACCCCCCCACCACCATCCCCAACCAGCAACCCCACCAGCAAACCCACACACTGCAACACCACCACCTCTTCTAACAGCACGCACCTTCTTCAGACAGTGGGCATTCTTCCCCAGCCCGTCCTCCCTCCCTTGCTTCTCTCTCCTTGCCCATACCCACGCACCTTCTTTAAAGAGTGTGCGTTCCTGCCCAGCCCATCCTCGCCGGCATCGAAGGCGTTTTTGCAGTAGTGGGGCTCGTGGGGGTCGCCATAGGGCACCACCATCTCACAGAAGCTCAGCCGGTGCGCAACGCCCCTCCTGCCGCTGCTGCTGTCGTCGTAGGCTAGTGAGTGCAGCACCAGGCCTTCTCTAGGTGTGAAACCTACTCAGAAACTCCACTGGAAAAACAAGGAGCAGGGAAAGGAGAAGGCGGGCATTTGGGGGGAGTAGGGGAGAGATTGGAAGGGGGAAAGGGATAGAAAAATGGAGGACGGGAGGAGAGTAAGGGGAGTGAAGTGGCGCTCGTGGGGGTCGCCATACGGCACCACCATCTCACATACACTCAGCCGGTATGCAATGCCCCTCCTGCCGCTGCTGCTATCGTTGTATGCCAAAGCAGCACCAGACCTTCTTTTGGTGTGAATCCCACCCAGAAACTCCACTGGAAGGGAAGGGGGAGCAGGGAGGGAAAAGGGGGTAAGGGGTAGGAGGTAAGTGCCTCTCTTGCCACTGATGCCGTCGTCGTACACCAGGGCGTGCAGCACCAAGCCTTCTTTAGGCATGAACCCCACCAGGAAACTCCATTGGACGACGAGAAGAGGAAGAAAGAGAGAGAGGTGGGGCGGGACCAGTGGCAGAAGGACAAGGGTGAAAAGGCAGCAAGTGAGACCCACTTCCACCTACCTTTAGCCACTTCACGACGTCTCCCCGGCCAGTGGTCCAACAACCACGTGAAATGAGTCGTGTTTTGAGTCGACTCAAAACAAGACTCATTTCAAGAGGAAGCACGTGACACCCACTTCCACCTGCCTTCAGCCACTGCACGGGGACTCTCCAGCCTATCGTCAAACCACCACTCGTCCGCACTCCATTCACTCACCTTCTCCTCTCTTCCACCAACCTTCAGCCACTACACGGCATCTCCCCACACTCTGAAGTAATGCCTCTTCGCATTCTACCCCCTCAACGCTTCCCACCACTCCCCACCATATCCAACCCCTCAGCATCCCCCCTTGTCACCCACCTTCTGCCACTCCACGGCATTTCCATTCACTCGAAAGCTCGGCCCCTCGGGCTGCTCTGTTCTGATGGGCTTCAAGTCGCAACGGTCCACGCCCCCCCTGTCCTTCCCCATCCTATCCCACTTTTCCACCCACCTTCTGCCACTCCACAGCGTATCCATTCACGCGGAAGCTCGGCCCCTCGGGCTGCTCTATCTTGATGGGCTGCTCTGTCTTAATGCCCTTCTGCCTTAACTCAAAAATTGCGTTACAATCTGCTTCACTTTCACAATGTGATAAACGCTTTAAACGCATAAATATTCTCTTCCACCCCATCCCCTTTCGCTTTCCACATTTCAAACCAACCGTGGCCTTCAGAGCCTGTCCTAATTCAATATAATCGATTGCAGTAAAATAGGAAAGAAAGAGTCATTGTAAAAAATCCAATTGCAATAGTATGATTCGATGAAAAAAGACATCAATACGAAAAACAGGGATAGGCGCCTGTTACAATCCTAAAAAGGAATTAGTCTGGGATCAGCTCAAGGTTGTTCGCAGGTAGTGTTGCAGTGGAAGCATTGACCTCAGGTCAGAGTGAATTTAAAATGACTTATATGATAAAGGCATGCATGCATCGAGTTTATGTAGAAGATACAAGGAATACGTAAAAGTCCTAGACTAGCCATGTACTCTAAGGGGTACATTCCCTTACTGCAGCGAATTTGTTTCGAAACTGTTCCCGCTCTTTTTATTTGGAAGTGTTTCTGCCTGCATCGGTCAAGATCTGACGGTTGCTAGTGTCGCTTTGACTCTTCTGACTCCACGACTTCGTTCTCGATAGAGTCGGCTCCTGCATCGTACAAGAATGCCTTCTCATAACGTTTCATATCTCAACACACCCCTTCATTCCTGGGCGTTCTGGGAGCTGACTCGCTTGACTATTCCAGTGAGGTTGGAGCAGTGCTTGTACTGCTGACGTGACGTGGTGAGGAATTCGGCTGCCATTTCAGTGGTAGAGCAGTACGCGAGGTCAACCTTGCCCTGGTCAATTTCGTCCTTGACGAAAAAGTACCGAAGCGCGATGTGCTTCGTATGGTTGACGAACCCCGGTTTTTTCGCGATCTTCATGGCGCTCTGGTTGTCGGAGTGGAGGCGGAAGGTGGGTGAAGTTTGGATTTTCGCCTCCTACAATAGCTCTTGTAGGTAAATTCCTTCGCGGATTGCAACTGTTGCAGCGATGTATTTTGCTTCAACTGATGACAGGGCAACCAGCTCTTGCTTCTGCGAATTCCAGGAGATTGGGCCCGTTGGTTACAGGCGAAAGACGAAGCCGGTTCGTGACTGTCGATTGGCACGGTCAGCTGCATGAGATGCATATGTGAAGATTACGAGGAATGAGTGCACTAGGAAACATGTGGGTACAAGTAGGAAAACCTAAAAGTGTTGTACCCTATATTGTCAACCCCACTACAGCCTACACAGACTATAGCACATAAGTTTGACACACCCCCATAGGCAAAGTGGGGGAGAACAAGAGGTCACAAGACCAGTGAAGCAAAGCACAGTAAGCTCAGGGTGGATCACAACGTCACCACACATTCCGAGCACAAGTTCAAGGCCACAAGGCCAGTTCACATGCAAGATCCTATATATAAAGGTAAACAAGCAAGTGCAGGTATAGATGGATCACAGTACAAGCAAGGTCAAGCAGTGAGCAAGTGAGGCCAAGTAGGCACAAGACCTAGCATCGTACAAAAGCGCTGATGATCACAAGGCGGAAGTGCCTTGGTAAAGATATCAGCAGTGTTGGCCTCAGAGGCCACGTAAGCAAGGCGCAGCTGACCACGCTGCTGCAGCTCACGAGCAAGGAAGTAGCGAAGAGCAATGTGCTTCGTTCTGTGCTCCAGTCTGTGCTCCTGACACAAGGCCAGCATGGCCTTGTTGTCTACGTACAGAACTGGAGGAGAACGAGGCGGCTCTCCTAGATCAGTCAGCAGGTAGGTGAGCCAGCGTAGCTCCTGTGCAGCCATGGCTGTGGCGTAGATCTCAGCCTCACAGCTGGAGCCGAGAACAGAAGACGAGCGGGTAGACCGCCACGAAACAGAGCCGGAACCAAGGCTGAAGGTGTAACCCTGTGACGACCGCTGCGTAGCCTGGTCGTCAGCCCAAGAAGCGTCTGCGTGACCTGTGAGGACCACTGAACGCCGCCCTCCAAGCACTAGCCCCATGCCCGACGTACTGCACAAGTAGCGCAACACCCTCTTCGCTGCAGCCATGTGCTCTGGTCGGTGTCTCCCAGGAGCAACATAGCGTGCCAAGATGCTAAGAGGGTATGCAAGGTCAGGTCGAGTGCAGGTCATCAGGTACATGAGGCAGCCAACAAGCTCTGGGTACGGGCCACTCGGCTCTACGGACTCATCCGAAGGCAGAGCTGAGAGCGAGTGGCGAGTAGACAGAGGAGTGGCCTGAGGCGAGGAGTACGTGAAGTCGAAGCGCTGAAGGATCTGCTGCACCATGTGTGACTGAGTCAGTGTAATGGTGCGCTGTGCTCTGTCCCGGGTGATCTGCAAGCCAAGGTAGCTGCGCAGTTCACCCAGGTCTGTGCACGTGTGTCGCTTCTGCAGCTCGGACTTCACGTGGGCGAGTCCAGCAGTGTCAGCAGTGGCAAAGACCAAGTCGTCGACGTACACGAGGATGTAGAACGGCGGCAAAGAGGTGTCGGTGCGTAGAAACAGCGACGGGTCGGCAGTAGAAGGAGCAAACCCAAGAGCCGCAAGTGTAGTCCTTAGTGTGTCGTGCCACTCACGAGGCGCCTGGCGGAGTCCGTAGACTGGCCGCCGGAGGCTCCACTGGGTACCAGGAGGAAACGACCCAGTGAAGCCAGGTGGGCGGCGCAGCCAGATCTCCTCGTGCAGGCTGCCCTGCAAGAAAGCTGTGCTGAAGTCAAGAGAGTGAAGCTCGTAGTCGCGCTGAGCGGCTATGTGCAGCAGCATTCGAAGAGTGGTCATCTTCGGGGTGGGAGAGAAGGTCTGAAAGTAGTCAACTCCCTGCCGGTGACTGAAGCCTCGAGCCACGTAACGCGCCTTGAAGACAGGCGGAGAACCTGGCGGCCGCTTCACCCTGAAAATCCACATGCCACTGACAATGTTCGCCCCAGGTGGGGGAACCTCGTCGACGTAGGTGCCTGTGGACTTCCAGGAAGCCATCTCTGCGTCCATGGCTGACTGCCACTGTGAGGAGTAGGGACCCTCGATCGCCTCAGCGTACGATCGAGGAGTCGGGATGTCTAGCGCATCCGGGTCTCCGTCAGGTGCAATCAGCATGGACACGAGATGAGGCAAAGCAGCAGCAAAACACTGGAACTCCTCCTGCCTGTCCTCAAGGACATCCGTGCTAAGAGCACACTCACCCCCGACGGACGGAGGATAGACAGACTCAGACTCAGCAACAAGACTAGCAGCGTAGTCTAGACGACAGCGAGCAGCAAAGTCGACAAGCTCAGCAACTAAGGCAGACGCAGCAGTGGACTCAAAGGAAGGGTCAGTGACAGCAGTAGCCAGAAGACGCGTGACAGTAGGACTGGCAGCACGAAGGGAGTCAGACTCCGGGTCAGCAAGAGCAGGAAGAGAGGACTCTGGAGGAGACGGCAAAGGGACACGCAGTGGAGCAGTGGAAGGACGCAGCGCCATCTGGTGTGTGCCTGGGACCGCAGGAGGACGCGGACGCGGATCACGACGACTAGTGCGAGCAGCACGAACAGGCGACGCAAGACGAGACGCAGGCTCACGACGCTCAGCAAGACCTCCAGTAGGACCAGTGTAGGGAGAAGGAGCAGGCAGCGGGGAGGCGGGCTGTAACTGCGACTCAGACTGGACAGGCGGTGGACACTCTAAGGAAGGAGCAGGACCAGTAGAAGGCGGGAGACCAAGAACCTGCTGAAGGAGCGGAACGAAGTACGGCCGCGGTCGCGCAGTGCCTCCAGAGCCAGCAGGGACAGCACCAGCACCCCCAGTGGCAGCACCAGCACCAGTAGCACCCCCAGCGGCAGCACCGCCAACTCCAGCACCCTCAGAAGCACCAGCGCCAGCAGCACCTCCAGCGCCAACACCCCCAGCAGCTCCAGCTCCAGCCGGACCACCGGAAGACTCAACAGCCACAGCTCCAGCACCTCCAGCAGCACCGACTCCAGTAGCACCGCCAGCCCCAGCACCGCCAGCAGCTCCAGCACAAGGAGCACCCCCAGGCCCAGCAGCTCCAGTACGAGCACCTCCGGGACCCGTGGCACCAACACCCTAAGTAGCAGCAGAACCTCCAGCTCCAGCAGCACCTCCAGCTCCAGCAGCACGGCTCCAGCGGCGAGCAAACCACTCGCGTAGCTCCTGTGGAGAGGGCAGCTCCCGCCGGGACGAAGCACCCGAGGGACCTCCAGACCCAGTACCGCCAGACTCCACACGAGCAGGCCCAGCACCCTCAGGCTCCGCACCCGCAGGCTCAGCACCCCCAGACTCAGCACCCCCAGGCTCAGCACCCCCAGACTCCGCACCCGCAGGCTCAGCACCCCT